GGTCCTGGCTCCTACCCTAGGGGTCTTTAAGAGGAGGCTAGATGAACACCTTGCTGAGGTCGTTTGACCCCAGTACTCTTTCCTGCCCATGGCAGGGGGTCAGACTTGATGACCTGCTCAGATCCCTTCTGACCCTACCAACTATGAAACAAGTCACAGTTGTATTAAAACCTGCAGCATTAAAAAAAAAAAATCCCTTGAAACACTAGGTTTTGGGGCTGTGTAACATTGCAACAAGCTAAGCAGAATGGAGGTTTTCTTAATTAGGTCTAAAGTAGCTGTACTTGCAATGTATGATATCACTGCTTCCATTTTCTTCTGTCAAAACGTGAAAAAAATAATTCAACTGATTAGCCACTGTATTTTTCAAAAGTCATGAACTTTCTTCCTTAGGAGTGGGAAAAAAGTAAAAGTAAAAAGAAGGTTTTTAGCTTGCATGGTTAAACCGTACTAACTCTAAAGGTCTTGGGGGAATAATAGTACTTTTTCAAAAATTATAGATGGCAAAATGCTTTGTTCATCTAAAGTAAAAACCTAAAGTCATTACAAAAGGTCATAAGATTTGTTTTCTACCCATGAGGAAGGAAAAATGCCGACAACACATTCCCATGTGTGTATTTCTAAATAATTCTTAGCACATAGCATTATAAACCAACTTCAACTCCTATATTAAAACTCATCTTGAAAAAAGGCCGTTTACACTGTTTATAAAATACTGTCACATAAAATGTGTAAAAAAACATATTTCACTAAAAATAGCTTGCGTAAGTAAGGGATCAGAGTCGTTTCTACTGCTGTAATTGTTCCTTTGTAGTTTTTTCCATGATGTTTTTTGAACAGCGTTTTTAACTATGTTTATTAAAGTCAGCACATCAAAAAAGATCAAAGAGAAAGCTAGTGAGAACCAAAGAAACCCCAAGTGTGTTGTGTTGTCTCACTCGGGAGTTATGCAGATTCAAGTAAACAAGTGCAAATTGTTGAGGTTTTAATGAAAATTTTCTACAATTATTGAATCTGAAGTCATTCTATATAAAAACATCTGTACAGCAGATGGCTATACTGTACAAAAGGCAAGCAATGCTCCTTTTCTTGCTCTGTTTTAACAGTACATCTGAAATGACTACTTTTGTCATTGTGCTCAGTTTGGTTCAGCAAATAATTCGTAAAATGCAGCTGCTACAGATGGTCACAATAGTTATATGACTGTAAAATCAAAGACACAGTAAAGTATTTGCGTATTAGTTTCATACTATAAAAAACTGACATTAACCCTGTTCAGCTCAAAAGGTATATCTATAAAACTTTTAAAGAAGAAAAATAATGAAGAACTGACATATGTTAAATACTCCTTGCTCTCCAAAATTGGCTTGTGACACAGCTACTGCATCTTAATTCAGTTAACTTACATGATACTTTTACATTTAATAAAGCAAACCTTGCCAGTAATGCAGTATTTTTGTTTCTTTTAATTACCCTTAAGAAAAAAATAACAGGTAAGTTCCTTCATAGTATTTCAAGCTTCTTTCCTACAGTTACATTTTCCACTAGGAATGCTACCAGCATTTTTCTTTCAAATTAACTAAAAAAATACCTTTACATTTATTAAATGTCAGTATCAAATACAGCTTTTTGTGTTTTTGAGTTACTGAAACTTAAAACAATTTTTCATTTTGCCATATTGAAATTTGTAAACTTGTGTGTATGTGCATTCATTTTTCCTATTACAAAAATAGAAAGATACATGGACTGTAATTGGAGGATCATGAAAGAATCTGTTGATCTCTATGTACTGTTTGGTTAGGGACGTTTTTCATGTTAAATAACTAACTTGGATTTTTTATTAGATTTCAGCACCACTATCACATTATTTAATACTGCTGGCAAGACTAAAAACACATTGAAGACTTGTGTATTATTTGCAGCATTTAAAAAACAAATCTGTCTTTTGGTGCTGCCCAGGAGGATTAAGAAGCATAACTACGCAGCAGAATGCGTCTGAGGCTTAATGTGCAAGTTAAGGTAAGTTCATCTTTAAGGAGGATGCAAGCTCTAGGGTAAATGATATACACTGCTGTTTGCCAAATTGCTATATAGTGCAGTGACTGAGAGGCCTTGGCTTTGATATCTAGAAGCTTGCTGTGGATACTGTAATGTACCATAGGACGGTTTAATGTAAAAGTGACAGGAAGGGATGGAAAAAAAGAAGATCAGAACACACAGAGAAAGCTAAAACTATGTAAAGGATATTAAAAATGCCCTTTACTCTACTGGATTGCAGCTCTTTCCACGCTAGGATTGAGATACGATTGGAAAAGCGTGGGAACGCATTCACTGTTCCTTTTTGTACCTCACTTTATTTACGGATAAATCAAGAATTTCAGCCTCCAGCACTTTCATAGCCTTTCATGTTCTATGAACCTTAAATTTTTCATTTTTAACTTTTAAAACAATAAAAAGGCACTGAAGCTTGTTGGCCTGAGCAGAACTTTTCTGATGAAAAAGAAATAAATCACCTAGCTTGGCCCAGAACTCATACTTCGCAACTTCAAACTATTTTCTTTATCTCTTATGCTACTCTGTCAACTGCATGGATCTGGCTCACTTCCAGAATCTGTAAACCCGTGATTCTCAACCAGGGTGTTTTGACATCCTAGGGTGCCTTAAGATCCTTTCAAGGGTGCCATGGACTGCCACACAATGTTAGCACTATTAAGTGTGCAAACATGATTTACAAGGTAAACCCAAAGATTACAAATAGAATGCTTTTAACACTATAGATTCTTGACCTGCTGTGGTCTTTCTGAGCTCTTTGCAACAGGAAAATGCCTCTATTATTTTTCCATAGTCAAAATATGAGTGAAAAGTAAGAGCTGGCAGTTTTCATGGGTGCCTTGAATCTAACAAGGGGTGTCTTAAGTCTAAAAAGGTTGAGAACCACTGATCTATATGTATCATCTAATTCATTTTAGTAAGAGACTAACTAAACAGCTTATAATGTAATTCAACAATTTCTCAAATCTATTTTATTTCTTAAACCAAAACTTATGTTTGGTGTTTTCCCAATTTTACTTAAAGTGTGAAATTCCTCATTTTTTATCTCACATTTTACAGTACAGAAAATGCCGTCACAGTTGAAAGTTTCATTTTTGGCCTGTGACTTTTTCTCCTGCTGAGAAGAAGCAGTGCATACAAATTTAGATGTTTATATACCTACAGTAGAACTCCCACAAAGAACAACTACACATTTTTAAAGTCATTAAGGCTTATAAATAGCAGAGTTTTCAAGTTTTTCTCTTATGTATGCAGAGTGTGTTATCAGAATGTCTTGTCCCTGTAGGAAGTCTTTATCCAAAGATTATGGTAATTGATAATAAACTCTACTAATAAATAATGATAGTGTTTTGCATTCATATAGCAATACATCCATGGTTCTCAAAGTACTTTTCAAATACTGTTAAACCATATAAATCCCTGACAGGTACAGGAAGTACCAAAACTATTTTTGCCAGTTTACTAAGAAGGAAACAGAGTCAGATTAATTATTTAGTTCCAGGTCACACAGTGAGCCCAAGGCAAAGCCAGAAAGAATGGACAAGAATCTAGTACTCAATTCTACTTATTGTGTAATGTGCCAAACAGAATAGAATAGAGCAAGTTTAGCTTTTCTAATACTGATGAATTACTGTGTAAAAATTATAGTTGTAAAACTTATAATAGACTGAGAACCAGAATTCCAGTCCTCCTAAAGACACTTTGTGTTGTGTAAGCTATGAAAAGGCTGGAACGGCTAGTAGAGGGTTCTTGCTATGTAGGGGAGGAAACACTGATTCTTGGAGGAAGCGTGTGTGTGGGCTGGCTGAGGGCAGTACAAACTGGGGAGAAAGAAGGGCAGAACTGGTTATACTCAAATCTCTATTGGTGCAGGGAGCCTTATGTCAGCATTATAAATTAAGGATGTCCCCATGTAGGCCTGGATCAGAGGAGTGTAATTAGTTTACTGAACCCTATTCCCCACCCCATGCACATTGTTAAGATCAGATATACAATCATGGATTAAGCACACTGGATTGTGCTACAGATCTGCTGTGTAACCAAGAGCAACTTAAAACTCTGTACCTCACTATACCCATTTCAGAGGCCAGGTACAGACATTACACATAAACCGGTATAAGTGACTGGAAACCAGTCTACACCTGTAACCGAACAGAAATTCAGCATACATAGACTGGTTTAAAAATGGCAGAACGCAGTCTAAGGTAGACCTGGATTGATGTTGTATCAGATTTTATTGAGTTAGGTTAGACTGGTCTCTCGAACTTCTGCACGAGATCCCCTACTGGCTAAAGTTAGGTCACTGTCCACTTGCATCCCAGGCTGCTTTGCAGCTCTCCACTAACCCCCTCTCCCCTAAGGGAGGTGCACTGCTCCAGCCAAGTGGCTAGCCAGCCCCACGCCAGCACAGAATCTCTCCCCAGCCCTGCATCCTGCCTCTGGCCAGATGAGAGCCACAAGGGTGGTGGTGGAGGGGAATGGAGGCTTCTCTTGCACAGACCCAGATCAGACTCTCCTAGCCACAAGCCAGCACTGAATCTCTCTGCTCCTCCAGCTCCTGCTAGCTCTGAGCTAGAGCCAGATGGGGGTGGGGGACAAGATGGGATGGAGGCTTCTGCTGCATGGACTTGGCATCCAATTGGGGTGGCCCAGCGACTCAGCAGCCAATTGGGATGGCCCAGCGACTCAGCTGCACTTGGCAGTGGGGAGCTCGCTGGGAAGTGTGCAGGAATGACTCCAACCTGGTGGCCTTGGTCAGTGCAGGCAGCCTGCATGCCCCACCACCAAAGAGTGAATGTATCTTCTGTTGATTTCCAAATTAACCTAGGGTGCCTGTAACTTAGATTGCTTCTGCCTCAGGCTTTTTAAACAGCTGTACTTGGACAAAATGAGTAATATAATGTCACTTACAGAATTAAGTAGCAATATATATTTTAAAAATATCTTACCTGGAGTTTTATGCCCAGCTTTGATACACAGGCTTCCACTGAGGTTTGATAAAGATGCTGACAGGCAAGGTTGATTAGGGTGTGGAACGGTCTCCAGAGAAACAACCAGTTGAACAGTATGAATGGAAATTTTCTGAAAGCAGGAAACAGCCCACCACAACTTTTCTTGGACAGAAAACTTTTGTCCTTCATCAGCATGTACTACAGGGAGAGGATCCTTTATACAGGAAAAGCTGCATGCTGATGTTTCATCTTTTCTTGGAATAGCGTCGGTTGATGCAGAAGCCTCTTTGCTGGTCTCATTATCATTTGGATTCATGATTTTTTCTAGAAAAGTATTTATTTGATCAAATTTGACAAAACTTAAGTTTGCTTTCAATGGCTTTGATACATCCACATTGATGTCCGCTGTGGAAAAGAATTAAGAAAGGCAAAAACATTTAACAAAAGTTGTCATACTGCGATTATTTTAATACAAAAAATGCCTTTTAATTTTAAATCTAGCAAATACTTAAAGCAATATTTCTTCTAGGATTCATTTATGCCACTGTATCAATAGTAAAACACAAGAAAGCAGCTTTTCCCTAAATAAACTGGCTTTGACGAATCACTAAAATTGTTAAAGAATAGTGATCACTGTTTACGATTTGAAGGAAGGAAACCTAACAAACCTACACTTATTTCCCTGTATTTTTTCAGGCAGCACCATAGACTTCTGAAAACAAAGAGAACTAATCTTAGCATGTGGGAGGGTAAGTATATAAATCCTTGTCCATCACAATGAAATATACTCCTCCTTCTCTTGAGTTTTAATCAAGCAAATATAATGTATATAAACTCTGAAAACCCTCAAGCTGACCATGGACATTTTCACCACATTTAAATAAATAGATAATGTATACATTTTTGTTTTTCTCTCAGTGATCATGTAATAATTCTTAATATATTTTTGTGCTTAAATGTGAAATACAAAACAAACTTAGATTTCTTTGCTAAAGGACTGGAGGCAGAAGACAGCACACATATAACCTTTTAAAATATAGTTTTCCTTTCTGTAAAATCCTCTTAATATTTTCTGGTTGGCTTTCCTTTCCTTCCTTTTTTGTGTCCTTGTGTGACAAGGTATTTAGCAGAATTTGCAGATTTGTTGGAGTCTGCCAGGGCCACATTGTGCTATAGCCTCAAACTTGTGACCTATGGGCTGTCAACTGTGTACCTCAGCACCTGTGCCATCCCAGCGCCCTCTGGTTGGCTGAAAATCTCACAGTCCATCATTATGAGGACACTCAAATACTATGGAATGCACTGGTCGCAATGAAATTTCTGGTAGTTGTGATGCTGCATTCTAGCAAAATACCAAGAAGATTACTGCACAGCTGCCATGTTGAATTTAGTTAAAAATTATTTCTGTGTTACTAAATGATTCTCACAGCTAGTAGGTGATGGCACTCTGCAGAGATGTCTAGGTTTAATTGGTTTTAATTTTTGCTTTGAAATTCAGCTTTCACTCAGTACTAAAGCAAAAGCTTCTTCCTTGGGAGGGGAAAACCTTTTTCACTTTGCTGATGTTTGCAGCTGCAGAACAAAATCTGATCACTTTCATTTATGCATCTAAGCTGTGCAAAATGCTAACAGTAAAAGCAGCACCACTTGAATCCATATTTACAATAAATTCACACTGGAGACAAGGTTTGTTGGAAAGTTCACACAGGTTGATGAACCTCTCCATCAAAACTGGGCCAAGTCTCAAATAATTTTGAAGTAACTACTTGTGCTTTTTACTCAAAACCATGTGAGATTTGTGGTGCAGCCAGATGAACCTGACTCCTCTGCTCTTTAGGCTCAATAGAACTTTCTATTGCAAGTCAAGGGGAAGGTTGAGGGCCTTACACTCTGATCAGGAATGCTTAACATTAACAGAAATGGCAGTGAATCTGAAGCAATGTTGAAGGGCATCCTTGAATGTGGGCCTTAGACATGCATCCTCAAAGTTATTCCACAATGACAAGATATATACTTAGTTTCATAGTTTCATAGTTTCAGGGTCGGAAGGGACCTAATAGATCTTCTAGCCCGCCCCCCCGCCAGGGCGGGAGAACAACCCAAAAAAAAACAAACAAACAAACAAACAAACAAAACCACTCACCCTAAAAACAAAAACGGGACTCAAATGAGTCCAGCCAGGTAAGTATCCAGCCTCTTCTTAAAGATCCCCAGGGTAGGGGCCAGCACCACCTCCCTTGGAAGTTGGTTCCAGCTCCTAGCCGCCCTGACTGTGAAGTAGTTTTTTCGGATGTCCAATCTGTACCTCCTCTCCATCAACTTGTGCCCATTATTCCTTGTTATGCCAGCAGGGGCTAGGGGAAACAGCGTCTCCCCCAAACCCTTCTGGTTCCCCCTAGTGAGTTTATAGACGGTCACCAGGTCCCCCCTCAGCCTTCTCTTGTGGAGGCTGAATAGGTTCAAGTCCCGCAGTCTCTCACTGTAGGGTCTGCCCTGTTGTCCCCGGATCATGCGGGTGGCCCTCCTCTGGACCCTCTCCATGTTGTCCACATCCCTCCTGAAATGGGGCGCACAGAACGGGACACAATACTCCAGCTGCGGCCTGACCAGCGTCGCATAGAGGGGGAGGATCACCTCCCTGGCTCTACTCGAGATGCACCTGTGGATGCACGACAAGGTCCGGTTAGCCCTGCCAACCATGACCTCGCATTGTCGGCCATGTTCATCTTGGAGTCAATAATGACACCAAGATCCCTTTCCACCTCCGTGCTCTCAAGTAGGGAGCTCCCCATCGTATAACTTGCTACTGGCCGGGTCAGACTTCCATGATGTCTGTAGGGAGAACGTTCAGAATTTGATACAAATAACATTTTCTAAGAAAAATAGTATTAGTACTTCACTGGCAGGAGTTAGCTTAAAATTAAAGCTGAAGAACCTCTAACTCACCATTTGAAAGAATAACTTTCTGAAAATATTTCCTTTTGTGCTTAAACTTTCCATGTTAAATTGAAAGCTATAGCAAATGCTAGCTGAGACTGGGAAATACTAGAGAGGCACATACAGAAATCAGAAAGATGGGCAGAAGATAAAAAAAATATCACCCTGCCCCCCATCAAAAGAAAAAAGAAGGAAGGGCATGCTTGCTATGACTGTAAGGGGCAGATTTTTAAACATATTTAGGTTCCTAAACAAACAGATGGAGTGATGTAGCTGTGATGTCCCAGGAATTATGCAAGAGGCAAGATTTTCATGGGTGAAAATTTTTTTTTGATCAACTGCATAGCAGGGATAAAGACAACCTTGCATTATAAAGCTTGTCTACCTTTATCCTGATCATGAAGTTGGTTCAATATAACATATCACCCACGAAAATTCTTGCTTCTCCAATAGGCTAGGTACAGACATTAAACTTTTACTAGTATAAGTGCTAGGAAACCGGTTTAAACCCTTAACAGTACAGATGTTTAGTGCACACAGACAGGTTTAAAAATGGCAGAACCCAGTCTAAGATAGACTTGGATCAATGTGTACTCAAACTTAATCAATTTAGGTTAGATCAAAGAATCAAACTTCTGTACCAGATCCACTAACAATGCATGTTAGTTTGTTGCCCGCCAGGATCCCAGGTGCCTTTGCTAGCTCCCCCTGCTAGCTCCCCCTCGCAGTGAGGCATGCTACCATTCACCCCATGCTTGGCTGCTCCAGCTGAGCACCCAGCCAGCCCTACCCCTGGGCTCTCAGGGTGCCTATACAGTATGCAGCTAAGCTGCTCCAATGTGATGTAATTACAGTGCGTCAGAGCAGACTCGATTAATTGAGTCTGCTGGGGCATGGTAATTACTGCGCTCCAGCAGATTCCAGTGTCACGTGTTGAAAAATGGCACTTTAACTAAAGCTCAATTGATGAGCTTTAGTTAAATCACCCCCACCACGATTTTTCAGTGCGGGGATGATGATACACGTGATGCTCTGGGCACTTTATTTGGAGTGGCAGAGCCGCTCTAATTTAAGTGCCTGCCGTCCCCCCCCCCCCCCCCCCCACTCCTGGAGTATGTGTATAAATGCCCTCACAGAGCCAAGTTAGCACAGTGGCTGATGATAACGGGGGGGGGGAAGAAGGGTTGCTGAGCCATGCCCCAGTACCCAGTTGGGCTCCTTTGGTTGTACTTGCTTGCGAGGGGCATGGGGGTACTTGGGTGGGTGTGTGGGATCCCACCCAGCACCTATGCCCTACACAAGTGGGTGCAACCCTAGGGAGCATGACTGAGCTGCAAAGGACGGGCCAGCTGCTTGCAGCTGACACATGCTTGTGGCTGATGATGACAGAGGAGGGGGAGGGAGGTGTGCTCCCTCCCCCCCAGCAGCCAATTGGGTGGCCAGGCCTGCGCTTGGCAGTCTCCGGCAGCCTGGCAAGCCCACTTGTAGGCATGCCGGAGTGCCGCCCAACCTGCTGGCCATGGCCAATGCATGCAGCTTTCATGCCCCCCCCAAAGGGCAAATATGTATTTTGTTCACCCCAAAATAACCTACGCCACTTGCAGAATACTACATAAGCTGACTGATTCTGCCTTGGGCTTTTTGGATGTCTGCACTTAGCCATAAAGAAGCTAGTGGGCACTTAGTGGGATTTTCTAGAGCACTGAGATGTCTAACTTCCCTTGAAATCAATGGATCTTAGAAGCCCAGGTGCTTCTGAAAAACCCATAAGGTACCTACCTATTTTTTAGGTATGTAAATATATCTAAAAATCTGGTCTTAACACTCAATCTTTACAAAATTCATCATTCCACCCCTTTCATTACGCAGAGGGAGAATGACAAATCAGGTTACAGCCTCATGTGTCAAGAGCCCCCCAAGCAATGAGAGAAAAGACAGAAAGAGACGTTCTAAGTAAATAAACACATTTTTTTAAAAAGTGTAAAAATGTGTGTGTAATAATTTCCAAAACACCTGAGTAACTCTTCCCACTGGGATTTGGATTCATAAACCATTAAGGCAGTTCTGAATTTTTTAACCTATTAGATCAGCTTTATGCATATACATAATGGCTCTATAGGATGAAATTAAAATATGTTCTTTGTACAACTCTGTAAGTAAACATTAAATGTAAATGGCAAGGAGTACCCTCATTTTTATATATATATATATATTTTTTTTTTAATTTTTTAATTTTTTTTACTTCTTTTACTTTCTTTTTCAATATCACATTTGATATAATTCTTAATGCTAGTATCATATTTTATAGGCATAAAGTATAAATGTGCTATAATACTTATCTTGAACACAAGTGACACACTAAAAACCTAGCATGAAGTGCATAAGAGAGCCCTAAGGAACAGATGAGGAATTGTCCAACAATGCTCTGTTGGGTTGTTTAAGATAAAGACAAAAGTGCTAATTAGGCC